GGCGAGTTGACTGGTTACCTCTGTGGCTACCACTAACAAATTTAGTAACTTAATACATAAAATTGTCAGTATTTCTTTTTACTGATTTTTTCTCTATTTCTTTCGCCAGAGATAATCTTCTTCCTGTCACGTCAGTTGGGTTGTTCTTACACTTACTTGTGACTTATGGTGTCACTAATAAGCCCTTCAGTCTAGTGTCTAAAGGTAACTTTCAAAACATGAACATTAAAGTTTGAAAACTTGATGCCAAGCAGGGATATGTTGGTGACACAGAACAATAATTTTCCAATGCTCTAAGCTGCAACCTATTTGGTCACCACAGTGAGTAGGACACAAATTTCAGTGGCAAAATTTGCAGCTTAAGTTGCCAAAATTTATCAATATTTTTGAGGGTGTATGAGTATTAAACCTTTAGACTGTTGAGGTTGTAAAAAGACAACTTTGGAAAATATTGAGCTTGGAGCTCTAATTTGACAATTAGAAAGATCAATCAGATGATAATTTTATGGAGAAGCTTGGTCTCCTTTACTTGAGCACATGTTTTGACTTCTTTAGCATCTAATGATTTCCAATTAATAATTCCTTGCCTTGATTCATCTAATGTCCTATTTTCATTGATTTCTGGCTTTTATAATGTTGTGTCTATTTAAATATGAATATCTTTGATGCCGTTCTCTTAAAATTTGGGCTCAAGTCTTCTTTGTTTTTTTTGTTTTAGCTGCTTCATCAAATTGGTTGCAGGATGCAGTGAATGATTTTGGTCACAGGTGAGTTGGCCATCTGCTTAGTTGTGTACAGTGACAAGCATGTGGAAATATTTGAGTGAAAATGCTGTGACAAAATTTCATATCTGAGAAATCTGAGAGCTAGAGAACAACTGACCTCCTCTTCAGGCAAAGCTTCTGGCAATAACATCAGTGGAATTGCAGTCCCTGACTCCTGGGTTCTCATTGTGAAATGTATTCTCAAGAGAATAAGTAAAGTATTTTGAGAAAATTTTTTTGTATCTGAATGAAAAATTGCTCCAGTGCACCATTGAAATTCATCCACAGACTTCTGCCTAGTAGTCTAAGAATTCTCTTACTTCTAATGCTCATGAACACCCTGTGACTCTGAGGGATTGAATTTCTATCTACACTCCCCTCCCTACCTGATTTCAGTAATGGAGAAAAAGACATTGTATTTAACTGAATTTGAAATGGGAAAGAAGGTGATTATAGGGCCTGTTTGTCTATTTTTATTTTTCAAAGACCTAAAATTGTAAAGGGATGTAGCTGGCTTTGTTAAACCTCTGAGTTTATGAATTGTTATGTTGCAGCATTTGTGGGTTTGCACCATTCTTGGGCAAAGTTCTTGTGCAGCGATTCAACCCTATAGCTCTGCTAGGTGTGGCAGGAGCAGCGTTAGTTTTAACAACTGATTTTTTAATCAACTACAAGTAAGAGTGCTTGATATTCTTTTTGCATCTATTTAAAAATTAAAAGTGAATGATTTTAAATATTGGAAATCATCAATTCATCAAAAGAGTTGTTATTTTTTATTATACAACCAAGTGTGCAATGTTGATGCATACTTCCTGAAAGCTCTTCTTTGTGTTGACAACCTACAAGTCTTGTCAAATCTTAAAAATAATTTTTAATTACCAGTACATTTTATAATACTCTGCTAAATGAGATGTGAGATTTGTTATTCACTTGAATGTTACTAACCAAGTAATCACATCAACAATTTTTTGTTTTTCTTTACCAGTCAATCCTTCATTGCTGACAGCTTTTGTGCGATAGTAACAGCATTTATGATGTGGGCAACCATGTTACCACTCAGCATATACAGTGGACAGATTCTTCTACAGGTAGTAGGCTTTGGGTCTCATGGCAGTTGTATATGATAATGTCTATAACCCGAATACTGTCATTTATTATTATTAATAGTCAATGAGCCAGTTTTCATTTCTTCTTATTTTTATTTATCACAGACTTGCCCCATTGATATCATGAATCAGATAGACAAGTGTCTGCGTGAGGTAAGAAAGGTTAAACAAAAATTACCATGTCTACTTCACAAGGTTTCAATTTAATTTTTGCAAGAAAAGTAGTAGCCATTCATCAAAATAAAAATCCTCATCATCCTCATCTGGGGTGTGGGTGTGTTTAGGTTCTAATACATACTATGTGCCACATAACCTGTCATATTTGGTGGCATGAAATTTTCCCACTGGTAATGGCTTGGTCAGTGATCTCAGAATTCTTCTTAGATAACTGTTGTGCTTTTCTCCCGAAAACATCAAGTATATGAATTACTGAGAAAGAATCAATAAGCTTTATTTCCTATTATTGCAGGCATCTACCCTAGATGGTGTGTTGGAATTTAGAAATGAGCACTTCTGGACAGTTTCATTTGGAAGAATGGTGAGATGCATCAAACACTTTACTGTCTCCATAATGCCTTTTTCTCACTGAAATTTCTTGGAAAAAAATAGCAGGTTTCTATGGTGATATGAAAATGCAGTCAGCTTCCAATAATTGCCCTCAAAATCAGTTTCTTTCACAGAGTCTGATGCAACAAATGACATAATGTGGGCCTTTAAGGAGACATAACAATACAGAAAGTTAAATTTTGATTAACTGGAAAGTTAACATGTTCGCCGAACCATTAACCTGAAGACATCTGAGTTGTTGACTTACAGACCAAACGTAGGGCAGCATGTAGTTCATTCCTGTACAATGATCATACATTTGATGTATGTTGCTACATGATTCCCCTTGCTAATATGGATGTTTCCTTCATTATGTCTCGCAATTGTTACAGTGTATTTGGAAAATTTGGGGTTGTAATTGATATTGTTAATATTGTTAATAGTTTTCTTGTGTTGAGTAAGATTTCAGATTGTGGTTTTTAATTATGTTGATGATTATTATTTTGCTGTCAACCTTTTATAGGCTGGTTCCTTGCATGTCAGAGTAAGAAGAGATGCTAGTGAACAGGTAAGGACAAATGTTAAAGTATTCTTTCCAAATGACATGAAAATAGCAAAAGAGGAAGATCAGAGTATTTTTAATTTTTTTGTGTGAAGAGTAACCTTTCCTTCAACATGACTGACCAAAGAATTATATTACAGAGCCCAGTTGTTCAAAGAGCAGATAAACTTATCCAACTGATAAATCACTATCCAGTAAATAAGTGTTAACTAAAGGTACAGCACTATACACTGGATAGAGATTTATCCAACGTATAGCATTATCCACCCTTCAAACAACCAGGGCCAAAAGTGAAGAAAACGCATGAATGGGAATAACAAATCTAAATGGAATAAAGATGTTGAAAGAATGGAGAAGATTAACTCGGTGGCAAATTTCAAACTTTACAAAATTTAAATGGATAGGTAATTAGGAATAAAAACTTGGGTCAGTTCATTTATTGGTTCTTAAAAGACTGTTGAGAATGATGATGATGATGATGAACCAAGATTTTAAGTCATCTTGAACTGAGGTAAAGGGGCAAGTTTCTAAAGAAACTGTGGTGCTGCATCGATGGGAGAGTATAGCAGGTAATTTAGTGTTAACAACTGAGTTGAAAACATAAATTAGCCACCGTAAAGGGTAAAAAAAGCTGACATTTCGAGCGTTAGCCCTTCAACAACAATCACTCTGACGAAGGGCTCAACACATCAGCTTTTTTACCCTTTACGGTGGCTAATTTATGTTTTCAACTCAGTTGTTTACACTAAATTACTTGAACTGAGGTACCCTGGGCCTTGGAATTAATTAACACATGAACCTTTGTGTTTCAGTCTGAATTGCTCAGCTCTAAAACTTTTAAATATTTTCTGTTCTGTTTTATTTTACAGATGGTGCTAGCTCATGTAACAAACAAGTTATCTAGTCATGTAACACACTTAACAATTCAAGTATTCAAAGATGATTGGATACGACCGTCAAGTACTACAAAGGTCAACATTCCAAGTCTACCATCTGTGGCTGGTTCTCCTAGCAGCTCTCTGCTAACAAGGCCCTACAGCAGTCCACAGTTGTACAAGACTAACTCCCCACCAGTCACAAGAGGACTGGATAGACCCAAAACAGACAACAGGACAGCTACAAACAAAGCTTCAACTCCTTTCATGACCATCTCTCCACACAAGACATCATGATGGTTACCAAACCTTCAATCTCAATATCTGGAACCAAATTCTCCCAACTGTTAACATTTTATTCCTCCATCACTCCATCCTGAGAATCTGTTGTGCATCAATAACAAAGCAACATCCCAGAGTTAAAAATTTCCTATATTATCTTTGTCTTTCTAACTGAAATTTGATCAAATTGTAAGGAGAATTTAGGTATTGAGCACTAGTGAGAGTTAAATGTAAGGATCTAATTAAATGAAGTGTCAGTAGCCTTATTTATTTTTTGACATCATTAGTCTGTCATTATAACTGAAAGCAGTTGAGGCTAAAAATGCAAATAAACTCTATGTTTTCTCTATTGCTGGTTTTCTTAAAAAAAAGATTGATGTAAAGTAACAAATAATATTCTTCAGGTCTGAATAAACATCAGCTCAGGTCATTGAAACTTAGCAATGGGATTTTCATGGGAGTTAGAGAATACCACGATCTCCTGTGTTTATTGAACACATTGTCTATTCCCACTAAGGAAAAAGCTATGGATATACACAACTTAACAAAGAAGCTCAAAGAAACACTTACAATTACAAAGGAGACAACACAGCCCATTTTTTCAGCAGTCTTACCATGAATTTTGCAGTTTAATTATTATAGATCTGTACAGTTTCAAAGTTAGTGATCATTATTGTTATTTTTTAGATGAAAATACTTTGGTTCTAAAGTTTCTAAAGACAGTTTGTTGCTGATCAAATGATGAATCTCAAAACATCAGAAATGCTTCTAAGAAGCAAAAGCTTTGGTGACACTGAGAAGATTTTCTCCATTGAGAATTTCAATCCAGTAGCCATCAGGATCTTCAACAAATGCAATTCCTTTCATTTTACCTTCAGATAGAAAGAAGAGCAAGTAAATGTGTTAAAATAAATCAAAATCATCGAGACTACTGAGCCCAATTGGAAAGAAATTAATGTATTAGAATGAATTCAAATGAGTTCTCAATCTCTGAAGACCTTTCCTTAGCAATCAGACAATCCTCTCTTAAAGCATTTAAAAAAGATACTGTTTAAAGCCTCCATGCAAGGATGATAGTACAGAGATCACTTAGTTACTGTCAGCTTTTGTTGGTTATCATCAGCTGATTATCCATTCTTTAGCTTGTTACCTCCCACACATCAACAGTCTACAAACTAAAATGCAGATATTTCATACTTAACAAACATCATACAAGCTTACCATCATTAGGTTTTTTGACAAATTTCACCCCAAGCTTTTCAAAACGCTCACAGGCCTTGTCCACATCAGGCACAGTGAAACCAATGTGACCTAACAAGGGAAAAAGATGAACAAAGAATAACTCATTATGTATATATAGGCTTTACAACCTGCTAATTTTTGGAGTGGATTAAACCTTCAACACTCAGCAGAGTCCATTCCTAAGATCTACTTTACATTGGGGAGGCAGCTTATTTGTTTAACTCTATGACCACTGGATGAGAAGAAAATTGAGGGATAATTTAGAATTCAAGGTTACCTCTATGGTCAACATAAATGTGACAGTGTAAAATTAAGTCATTTGATTAATAGGAGTAAGACACATTGATTAGGGCATTGACATCTTGTAACATTAAGTCATTGGATTAATGGCTCAAAGATGTATTGGCCTTTGATTTCTCTGATTAGTGCATTGATATCTGGTTTGCCAAGCTTGGGTTCAAGGCCTGGGCATGTCTTTTAGTGGTGTTCTTTGGCAAGACACTCAGTGTCTCTCTTCATGTTAGAGTCTAAATGGGTGCTAGCAAATTGTCAAAGAAATTGGAAATCCTGAATGACAACTTGAAAATAATTATTACTCCTGATCAAAACATGCTTTCAAAAATAGGAAAAGCTCTAAGAATGTGGGCTGTATAGATCATGTGCAAGACTTTCTCTCAAAATTGCTTTTATCTTCTACAGAATTTAAAAGAAAGGATGCTCACCAAATCCTTTTGGTTCAGAGTTTCCATTATGGTATTTCAAATCAGGGTCATTCTCTGTTCCCCAGTTACTGTTGACACAAAAAAGAGTTTCAAAATCTCTCTAGGGGGTTCAGTTAAATTTAGAAGAGCCTTGTAAATTACCGATGACAAAACATACAGGAAAATATGCAGTATATTGTCATTGTAATCAAACATCAAAACTTGTCACATTTACTTGGGAACATCCAATTTAACATCTGCAGTCTGAAGGTACTTTTCCTTACCACTTTAACGTAAGGAAAATTTTTTTACTATCACTTATCAAATCACAAATATATTACAGTTTTTACTCACTGTGTTAATTCTAAAGTTGCTTTTTGAGCACAAAGCCACTTGGTCCTCTCATCGGCATCTTCTGGAATGGCTGATGCTTCTTCAAATCCAAGAAAATACAAGGAAAACTTCATTTCTGGGAAGTGATACTTCTGTAAAAGCCTATATCATAGGGACAATAAATTAAAAAAAACAACAACAATAGCTGGTAGTCCATCCCCTGAGATACAAATTTAACCCCCCATCTGCAGTGAAAGTCACAAAATCTACCAGATGAAAGCCAATTTAGACCTTTCCTAAATGAAATTAGAGAAATAAGAATTTATCCCTGGCTTGTTTCCAATGCATAATTATTATTAATTGTGCTTTAGAGCACAATTAGTGATGCCTAAAGAAGGGGAGGGTGACCCCCCAAAAAAGTTCAGAGTTGTTTGCAGGGCCTTGCCTCTCTATTCTGGAGGTTACATCTCTACACTGCTCTCCCAAGGGTGGGGCAGCCTTTTATTCTGAAATTTGGTCAAGATTTGTACAACCTTAAGGATGAAGGTCTACAATTGGTCACCATTCACTTATCTTTGGTCTGAAATTTGATAGGACTTTCAAGAAGCACACATACTTCACCCGAAATTGCGGACAAACCTCCAAACCCCCACCCCCCCTTCCCCGCCCCTGAGCCCTCTTCTCTTCCACTTCTTCCACACCCACGGAGAGATAGCTGCAGAGAAATGTTACAACAAAACCTTTTGAGCTTAATTCGTAAAAATTGCACAAGCTACTTTGACTAATTAAGACAAAAAAGGCAGACAGAGATGGGCTCCATGAAAAATTGGTACAAACTGACCTCATGCCCATCACACGTGTGTAGAAATCGAGCGACACTTTAGGATCTTTTACCCGAATCATCGTCTGCTGAAAAGTGAAACCCCTCGTGTTTTCGTCTGGTTCAGTGACGGAAGAACTAATATCTTCTTCAGATAACGCCATTTCTGGTAGTTATTCATAAACTTAAAGATTTTAAAGTGCTTAGTCAGTGGCCCTTTGACATCGAGACTGGCAAATAGTACCCAATCCTTTTCCGAAATCAACATTATCTGTACGCCTGGTTACTTAGCTTCATCTTTTCGAATTACGGGTATTATAAATATGGCGATTAGTGACAGTTTATACCGATTTTTGCTAAGTTCGGGAATTATGGTCGGTGGTACTGGCTTGGCTTGGATGTTAATGAAAGTTATTGTACCAACCAAAGAAGATATGCTCAAGGTAGTTCTTTGATTACTATTATTTTGTCGCGTTTGGATGGCCGAATACACAACTGACCTGAAAGTTTCTTAAGCTTTCCCTATCTAAGTTCTTCAAGAAGACATCGCTATTTAAGACTTAAATCTTGCAGCACCTTGAAATTGTTTTGAAGATAAGGAAAACGTACGAAATCTCATTTGGAAATCCTGTAGGGCTGAGATTTTGAAAGTGGTCACCTTCAAAGAAATGTGGATTATACAAGCTTTATTATGTAACTGGCTATCTCATCGGCAGGCCGGTCGAATTCCACGTTAAAAGTATGTAATAATGATAAACGTAGTGGGTAAGTGGGGGGGGGATGGATGAGGAAGAGAAAGAGCTCTTAACCCTAGGGCCCACATGTAAAGCAACTCCCCTTAGTTTATCTATTCTCTTGAAAGTGATCAGAAATTAATAGAAATAATCATCTGATCTCCTTTGCAATTTGCGTGATGTCATTCATGATAGTGAATTTGCTTGTGACAGCCACCCAATTTGTGGGTATGAGCAAAATAGGGGAAAAACCAAAAGAAAATATTGGTGCAAGGGGTAAGGAATCCTGTCAATTTACTCCCCCCTTCTCTTTCTGAAATCAACACTGACTGAAAGGCTAGCACAGGCTAATGGTGATGAAGAAGTCAAAGAAATCTATTCCCAAAGAAGTCCCTTTGTATGGAACAGTTCTGTCCACACACAAATGATTAGCACATACAACATATTTCCATTCCTGACCTTACTTACTTACATTAGCCCTCTTTGTATGAACTTTTGTTTCCTAGAAACTTCCAGATGAGGCAACATCTCCTGAGGCTTTAGCAACGCAAGACAGAATAAATGAGCAGTTTTTTATGGTTCTTAAAGAAAACATGAATTCCAGCAATCCAGCTTGGAAAGTTATGGGGCTAAAGGAAGTACAGGAAAGACAACAAAAAAGGAAAGATCAGCAGCAGAAGAAAGAAGCAAAATTAAAAGAAAAACAATCTAATGAGTTCACAACTGAATAGAGTAGAGTTTCCAAGTTTACCACTGCTATAATAAAGAAAGTGGAAACTTTCTGGTCATTTAAAACAAGTTGACTTCTTCTAAAGGTTTAGGCCATACCATCTATTCTCTTACTTGCTGGAATATTCAGCAAGAATACTGGTTGCCATTTAGAAAAAGAACATTTTTTTTCAGGCACATTAGGCATAATGTGCACTAATCTAAAGAACTTTTCCATGGAGCAAGAGGCTTGTAGAAGAGTGTTTCTAAATTTTTTTTGACAGAAATAAGATAGGTACTGAGTTACTCTCTACTTTTCCTATCAGAAATGGTTAAAAAACATGTCAATGCACATTAAAAATTCTTTCTGAGAAGTATTTGTGGGGAGGTTCTTAAGATAAAAGTATAGAAAATATGTAAATAAGTCTTTTCTTTTGCGCTTACATTGTTTTATCAATGAGACTCTTGTCAAATTATTGTGAAAAAACATCAAGTTGAATAAAAAATGGAATTGTTTACTCACATTTCTGTTTTGCACAAAATGATATTGACTTGAAATCTAATGAAGTGAACTTTGTTTGACTCATGAAATCATTCTCTACTGTTGTATTTATTGATGAAGATTACATTAACCTTTTATTAATAGGGATTCATCTCTTGAATCAGCCACAGGTCTTAGTATATTTGCTATGGTTGTGTAATGGTGCCAAATCCTACCTAACGAGTCATTAGGGAGGCCTGGGTTTAAACCCACTCCTAGGTTATGTTGAGTAACTCTCCCTTCTAGCCGCTCAACTTTTCCCTAAAAATACTGAAGAGAATTTGTTACTTCATCAACAAAAATATCTTGGCTAACTAGTTCTTATATACTCACCACATGTTACTGGAGAATATGGAAATAATGTAAGGAGAAGTAACAAGTTAATCACTTGGTGAACTGGGAATAAAATCAGTTCAGTCAGTTGGTGTATTGAGTAAAAACACATAAACTGTTAGTGGTTTTCATCTTACAGGTTTTATCTTAAGTTTACATCAGTTTCAAAGTTATATTTATAATTGGAATGATATCTTAACATTCACAAATAACATAAAGAAAAATTCAGTTGCACTTGGATAAAGAGTTACCTTAAAAGGTGAATTTTGCATGTTACTATACTTTTACACTATATCAGAGGGAAAGTTCTCCATAATTTATTCTATACATTTTCTATGCTACTTACGAGGAGAATTTGTCTTACAATCAAGAACTTCTTGAGTTTGTCATCATTTCCTTTATTCTCATGAACTTAATGTTAGATTCAAGGGTGATACTGTTTGGAGAAATTAGATGTTAATCCAGCTGAGGCATTAAAGGGTTAGCCCTTTCTTAACATTGTTTGAAGTCACAAGGGAGAAATTTTCCTTGTCTTCACCAGATATTAACTGTCAAATAAAGCACTGAAAACAAACTGATGAAAGATACAGGTGAAGGTTTTCAACCTTCTAGTAGCATTTCAAAGAAAAACCTGAGGTAATTTGTCACTGATGCTTAAGTATGGACTTCTGTTTCCATGATTTACAACACAGTTTACACATTCTTCAGTTTTCCTGTAATGAACTAGAGTCTTAAATTGTAACCTCCCAAAATGCCAAAGAAAATTTAGATTCTCCAACGTTTTCCATGTAAGCTTTTCATGCAGAGTAAGTTCTCAAACTTGATTTGGAAAATGAGTAACAAAGCTAACGTTTCCTATTCCTGTTGTGCAGTTTGAGACACTTTTTCATAAAAATATTGCACAGATTGATAATCTATTTCCTCCAAACCATTCACAAACAGGTTCCTCTGCTGGTCAGTCCATTGCAAAAACCACTTGTTAAACATTCGAAGCTGGCAATGAAAAACATCTGGGCTTGCTAACGAAAGAGACTCCAAAGCGTCATTTAATGAAGACAGTTTGTTAGGAGTGACTTTATTAGCGAGGATATCCATGAACTCATACTTTTGATGTTCTGTCCAACAGCTAAACCACGACAAAACAACTCTCAATTCTTCATCTGTTGATTTTTTCTCCGTGCAGGCGGCCATTCACTGAGTTGCATCTTGGTGAAACTGGAACAATTCAGGACAGGCGTTCCTTGAAGTTACAACAGTCTCTAGGACGTAGTCTGGGTTCTACTTACATCCAAAATGGCGGTCGTAGGTTCATTGACGAAGGGAACGGGTGAAGTTTTAGAATTTAGACATGTGCTTCTTTCATCTCAACACTCTCAAGGAAGAAAGGAAGATTTTGAAATTCTAGTCCACTCCTTAAAGAAACTTCAACAGGATGTTAACTCTTGTTTAACGGAAATCATTGAACAGGAAAAGACATCAGAAACAAACCAGGCCTCCAAAAACCGTGAGTAAAATTTTAGATTAAGTAACATCTTCAAACCGAAACCTTCGAGTTCATCCAGTTGCAGAGAGAGGAAATAAAAATCCTTCAGTTGATGCAGGAAGCTCTCTTTCTCCATTTACAACTATCTCTAACTCTCTTAGGGATTTTTTTTGCTCGAGCTTGCAGTTAATACAAGGGTAAAGGAGTTTTCTCACACATCGTGTTAATGATACCAACGCATAATTTCCGTTTTGTGATACAGAAACAACTGAAGACGATGACCCGGATGACAGCGAAGATGACTTGGAAGATCTAGATACCACAGAGAAGCAAAACGGAGCGATACAAGAGCCACAGTTGAAGAAGTTAAGAACATAGCTTGTTGAGGATTTTGTAGTAGTCTTACTGGCACAGCTGGCCTCGAAGGGGAAGAAGCAACATGAGGAGAAAAGGCAGCTTATGCAATCGAGTATGCTATGCACATAGCACTCTGATTGGATGAAAGTATATGAAGATAAAGTTTTTTTAATGGAACATGTCAAGAACTGAATGTCATTTGAAGAATTAAATCCTTGAGAACGACCACTATCTCAACCAATCGCAACTTGGGCACTCGCGTTTTCCTGCGCTTTAGGCAGCTACCCTATGCTGATTAATAACTATAGTCTTCTGAGTGGTTATTGTAATAACCTGGTTTTGATTTTACTAAGAGATTATAGTCTCTTGGTTTTAGGATACTTAATCGAAAAGCGCTCTAGTTAACTATCCTATGGACAATTGCTTTCAAATGCGCGTGGATTTGATTACAGACACACCTAGCCGCTGACCTGTAACACAACAAATGGTTGGTGTTGGTGATCTGTTTGAATAATTATGCGCTAAAATTTCGTGATCAACAGAATGATTTTCTTCGCGTGTGGCCAGCTAACAGAGTCATTTCCAAAATGAGCACGCCCATTGTCAAAAGGTTTGGTACATTTTGAGACTGTTGAAAAGGTTCACTTACTCTTAATAATCTCAAAACAGGGTACAAGTGTCTTTTTTGGAGATAAAAATTGTGCAGTTTCAGAAGTATATTTCTCCCTTAGGCATGATATAACCTGCAATGTATTTTGTTGTTCAAGGTGAACTAAAGATGCTTTTTCCAGCTAAACTGTCAGCTCTGTGACTTGTCCAAGGCCTTTTTCTAATAAAAAATCCCACCATTGAGACTCTTTAGTCACATGGCAAGGTGACCGCGTATTTGTTCGTTATCCTCCTCATAATCTGTTCGATAGTCTGAGACTTGTTTTGTCCTCTTGAATCAAGAGTGCTTGATTAAGGCTAAGCAGCCACACTCCCTTTGTTACGAAAAAGACCAGGGCAAAATTTTTTCATCTAGGTCTATTTTATATCAACAATTGTTTCGCAAATAAAACTCAGAACGTTGTCTCTTCTAATTTGCATGATAGAACTGCACTCAATAGGCGTCTTCTCATAACGTGCGAAATCTTGTGTTTTACGTTAATCACCTTAATAAATTTTAAAACTATATATAAAAAAACCGGCTTCCAATTTTTTATCCATATTTTAAATTTATTATCATTATTTTTTTAAAATTATTTTTCATGAACATTACTGAGTGTGCAAGATCTTCAAAATTTTTTTATAACGCATTGGTTGTTTAGACTACGCACGATCGATTTGCCATGAGACCGCCAAAAATAAAGCAACTATTATTTATATAGTACAGTACTCTTGCACCATTAGTCATGAATTCAGTTTATTATAACACTACAAGAACGAACCACAAGTAGTCTCGATAGTCTGTAGTCTACTTTTTGTTTGCGTCAACAAGTAAACAGATCATTTGAGAATTTTCCTTTAATTTGCATCTTTCAATACATACAATACATGTGTTTGTCTCATATCATCTAGCAGGTGTTTTGAACTGCACCAGTGAAACTCACTTACGCGCTGACATCTCGACCAATAATTTTGCGACAGGTTATAAACAAACCAGAACTCGTTTAAGTTTGACAGCAACGCGCGCGAGCTAAGAGACTATCGCCAGCATCGACTTTACATCGGCGTTTGTTTGCTGAAAGCCATCTCTTCAAGTGAAACTCTCCTTTAAGGAAGACAAAGAAGCCATTGAAAGCGGATTGGTAGAGTAAGAGCTTGGCTTAAGGTTTTTCTTTGCGTTTAATCGCTCCATTTCCTATCATTGCGATTCGCTTTGTGTTATTTTTATAACTGGATCGTGCTGTTAGTCTTATCTGGAGAGAGTATTCTGCGGTCTGTTTCTTTTTGAGTCTGCACACAGTCAAGACAACCATCTTAATTATCAACAGTCCTAAGGTCAGTTGGACATATGATTTTTTTTTGTGTAAATTTCATTTTTTATTTTCGCGACATCTCCAAACAACGCCAGGTGCTCGAGAAGCCAAAATTTTAGAGTGAAAAAACATAGCGCTATACGAGTTTGAATTGGCATTTAAAGTATCTTGGAATTTCGGTCAGTTAGTGCGCCAAAACCAAAAATTAAATTATTCTCATCTATCATCTGAGAGAGCGACCGCATAGAATAAGTTTAGCGTTTGAGAAGTAACGTTGTGAGAAGCTTTTTTTCATTATTGGTAACAGTTTTTTCCATTAAAGCTCCTGGTTTCACTCGGAGCGAGAATTTTCAGAGTTTGAGGAAAAACACGATATTCTACCTTGCCGGAGAATTTTTGATGACATTCTTGGATGCCGGTTGACAAATAAGTTCTGTTTATTCGCCATTATGAATTAACGCAGTTTTGTAGTTCCGTTTGTAAAACAGCTCTAAGTGAGTTCAAGGTTTAAATTTAGATCAGTGACTTCCTTACATTTCCCTGTACGGATTGAAGATTGACTAAAACTGTAATAAACCCTGGGACTATAGTTACAATTTTGTCGACCAAACGAAGTTGTATGGATAGTGGGTTCCAGTTGCGTTGCAAGAAACTAGAAACTAATAAATACCAAATGAGATGGATGCAGTTGATCAAATAAAGCGGTAAACCATAGCAAGACCGTGTAACCGAATCATTGAAAACTCGTGAAGAAGTTCGTCTAGGAAACGTCGTTAACAAAGAAAGAAAAACATGAAAAAGTTATTGAATGACCGGAGGTTGTTTCATGATCGAAGACTATTTGTAACGCCCACCAGTGACATCCATATCGATATTAGAATGATTTTTTTCTCATAAATATGTCTCGAAACATTGCCATCACAATAGTCTAAGAGTTTTTTCCGATCTTTTTTCAGTGTGTAAAGTTGAAAAATTCACCGCTTCAGGACTTTTCCCGTCTCTTAATACGTTAATAGTATGAATACTTGAAATAGAATTGATACATTTCCATGCCTCAAAAATTGACTCAAAAATTTGGGTTCAAGACAAGGTTGATCGTAAACAAACTCCTATCATTGAAATCTATCATGACGTCACTGATGGTCTGCAATTGATAGATCGGCATACATTTACTTAAATTGTACTTAGGTTTAAAGAATGGAAAAATTGCTGACAGCGTTAAGTTCTTCGGAAACAGATATATTTTCGCTTCTTCATTATATGTGGATTTTCTGGAGACATATTCAAAACTTTTCGGTACAACTAGCAACATGTCATACATGCCGTGTGAATCGCCGGTTTGACCACTATAAGTCAAAGTGGGGTCTTCTGTTGATAAGGCGCATTTCGGTTGAGCGTCGACCGAACGGAAATAAAGAAGTAAAACGGCCAATCGGAACAAAGGAAAATTTCTCAATGAGATTTCAAAACTTGCTGATGCGAGTTAATGTTGCGTCTGATTAGTTGAGAGAGTAGCACGCGACTTCTCATTAAAATCTATTACACCGCGTGGTGAAACAAAACAAATCATATCCTGTATTACTCCGCTCGTCCGAACTTAGTATAGCCCTATCGGCTAGGGAAAATATTTGGATCGGAGACTAGAAAAAACTCCTTGTGTAGAGGAATTTTCCCATGCAAGAAAATATTTTGTTGAAAAGAGTCCATTAACGATACCATGTATATTCAGTTTTCAGCTGAACGGATGCTGGTGGAGGCCTGGGGCTGGGGCTATTTGCCATGCTTATTGGCTGTGTTGGTGTTATGTAGCGTGACCCTGACTTGGGACGCCCCTCTTTTTGCCCCATATCGTGAACATTATGTGTCTAAGGCGCATTATCATGGAGTTGATGTCTTCACAGAGGCCCTCCATTCGCCTGTGGGGCCTGAACAGTTCATGGAGCATTTTTATGTGTGCTACGGAAGAGATGGACGGAAAACGTACTTTAAAAAACAGGACCAAAATTATTTCTCTAACCGAAGGTACTGGGTGATTAGTTCTTCCGGTAAATTTGTGGCTTCCATGCGAACCTGTTGATGTAGAGGACACATACTGTATGATAGGAGTTACATAACCTTCAAGAAATCTCTTCGTAGACGTATGAACAAATGCTTAAGATAACACCTATCACAAATACTAAAAATAATACTCGTTCGCATCCAGATCACCTTGCGAGTGATGAATTAGTTGTCATTGCAGGTTCGGTAGGTTAGCGTCAAACTCGTTCATGGGGCTAATATTTACCACAACATTTTGTTGCACTTAACTGTAACGTGCAAATATAGCTTAAAAGCAAGGACCAAAAACACCACCTACAGAACGTTGTCACTCAAATAGTGAGCAGCTACGCAAATTTATTAGAACACTTTATTTAGGACAACAAAATGGCTGCTGTGACGTCGCGTGAACACAAACGCCAACAGCTTAAAGATGGACATTCACACAGGATTACACAAGAATCTGAAGAAAGCAGACATCTTCTGTGGATAGTCTGGCTTAAGTTGCAGTAGGAAGATGGGGTTACAAATTATTTTATGAAGTTATGATCAAACAAATCTGATCTTATATCCGCGGCGAGTATTGTTGTAGTATGGGGTACATATGAAAATGATTCTGATTGGTCTAAGTCTGCAAGATAATGAATAAGACATAACAAAAAAAAAGACATTTAAAAAAAAGGTGAATGTGTGTAATAACTTTTCTCAGACTTGGTGAAGTACTAAATACAAAATAACGACAGTCTTTAACCAGCTAACATTTACATTTTTATAATCCTTCAATGTATAAGAACTAACAAATTCAGAATCTTTTAAACTAAACATTTCCTCTCGTTGATGTAATGAGTGAATGATGGAATCAACCTAGGGCCCAGGGCCTCTCTTTTTCTCTATCTCTTACCCCATCGCATTGAAGGGGGCAAGGGGAGGGGGCTGGGGGGTTTTGCACTACTTAAAATGAAAGTGAGCTGTAATTTTACAAGAAGTGATGCAAAGTTACTTTAGAGGCCTTCACAAATGGAACACACATATGCCAAAAAACACCCTACACTAAATAGTTGGAATCTGGAAGAAACAGTAGTCATCTTGGCAAGGGTAGTCCTGAAAAAGAGCAGTGTTTCATCGTGACTGAGATTTTAAAACTCATTTCAAAGTCATCCTCACATTTAAGGGCTCTTATGAAGACTTTCCAATAAAGACTTTCCCTCAATACATTCCCCTCAGGTTGTAAAAAATCTCAGTCACAGTTAAAGGCAATGATCCTTACAGAACAACAAACACCAAAACAATCAGAATACTCATTCCTGAGGAATATAATTAATGCCACTATCAAGAACGTATTTTATACTAAAGATTAATTGTGGCAAAGTCATATGAAGGCTACATATGTCTGGTGCACTGTACACTGGAGATCAATCATGAATGTGATTTCTGTTCCAAGACCAGCCACAGAACCCAGCATGAAGACTTTGCTAAACTTAGTGATGGGATTAAGTAAACACTTGGAATGCACAGGACACTTATACAGAATGAACCTTACAATGGTATCAAGTTTAATAAGGGCTTCTGATTGCAGATGAAGAAACATTATGGAAGAGAGAGAGTCATTAATTGTACACAACTACACTTTTGAAGTACCTGTACTCTTAACTGTCACTTAATCCTCTAATTCATTATTACTGTTCACAGCTCTCCTTCGATTTACTTATTTGAGTTGGTGTGGTATACAATTTGTTTATTATGGATCACATATTATAGGATTGGCAAGACAGTAACACTGAATTTCTATTTCCAGAACTACAGAGCACTTGAAAAACACACTTGACTGAACCATTTTTACTCCCAAAAACAGGAAACATGCAACTTGTTCTTTGAAGTTACAATACTAATATGTCATCAATACAATATCCAGCAAACAGGTGAAGAAAATTTACAGAAGTAACATTAAATTTCCCTTTTACCATACAATTGAGTAGCACCTACAGCCAGATCTGTCTATCAGATCTGTGGTGTAAAAGGGTTAATGAAGAAAAAACAGGCTTTCATGTAAAACAGGAATACAATTTTTAGCCAAGATGCATAACCCAATCATGAATCAAGTAACCTTTTAATTCTTTCCAAATGTTGACATGACAAGAATAAAATCAAAGTAGTAAACAACCAGAGCAACACATTACAATACTACTCTCCCACACAATAAACATTTTTGTTTAGTAAGGAGAATATAATTATGCTTCCATGCAAGGATATATGTTATGGCATCACTCACTGGTTGCTTTTATTTGGTACACTAATCAAATCTATATTCTCAAAAAGTTATATAAACACACGATGTTGAATCTATCTAAAACCACACCAAGGTCTATTTCACAATTTGTAACCAAACATATTACAAGTTAAGGTAAACACTTCAGGAACACTGTCTTCAGCCAGGCTTTTAAGGTCCATCACTCTACCTATAATAACACAGTCAATGTTAAAAAAAATAACTTAATCATCACTATAGAAACAGCTTAACCCTTTGACTCCAAAGAGTGACTTACATCTAATTTCTCATTACATTATTAACCCTGAATCAAACACCAAGGTCATTAGAATAATGGAAATAATCACCAACTAAAGTAGCACTTGATTGTTCAACAAATTCTCCCTGTAAGCACCTTGGGAAATGTACAGAGAACAGTACGGAGAATATGCATCCTGATGTTTGGGTAAAAAGGGTTAAAGGAGAAGCACAATCCAAACAACATACAGTTTTCTCCATGTCATTCAAAAGCATAAGGACAAATTTACTTTTATTTGTGCTTTGGTATTCAAACAAGTAAGCTATCTGTTTGAAATTGTCTTTAAATGAGTTAACATTCGGGAATACACACCCACATTTTGAAAACAGCTCAGTAGCTTAACCATACACACAAAACTTCAACATACGAGTCAGAAACAGTTCCTGCTCTAGATATATTACTGAACACTAGAGTAAAGGAATGCCTCTTTATGCGGCTTATTATCGTTCCAGAAAAACTATCAAAAGGTGAAAAAGAAGAGAGAGACTTTTTTTTACATCATAGATATGCTGCCACAGTTCTGAACAAGAAGGAAAAGCTGTGTCCCTGTCAAATTTTTAACACATTTGAAGACAACTTGTAAAAGGTTGGCTAGTAGCCATTGTTCAGCACCTCAATACTTGTTTGATGTCATAATTTTTTTACCACTTTTGGATGGAGGCATGGGGATAAATATTATATGGTTTCAAACAGGGAGCATACTTCTCCATATGTTCTACTACACAAGAGAGGGTGTCATGACAAGGGAAATCACACTGTGCTCTATTACAATCAGAAAAAAATTTGTTGGGCCTGGCACCACAGTGAAAGCACCTGCCAGGAATATTAAAAGTACAGAGAAAATAAACATAGGCCTGGTTCAAATTACCACGTTACAACCCTGTTTCGGTTAAACCAAATAATTGATTTAAAAATCAAAATCAGTGTGTTCTGCTCCTCAAATTGTAGCATTCAAGTTTAATCAGTATGAGAGTATGTTTTTTGCCCTGTTTAAAGTTAATAAATGAGACCAGGAATATATCAAACCTGGACAACTGTGATCTCTGTATGGTACAAAGCACAGGCTTCTGAGGTCAGGCAACAAGGAGTCAGGAATTGATTAGCTTTGTTGAGACCAGTGGTGTTTAATTTTTGTATAACATAAATTAAGAAACATTTGCACATGTTTGTCAGCTGATTTGTTTATTTATATCCACCAGTTTTGTGTTCTTCTTCACAGCATAATTGAATCAACTGGAGGGTATCAGGTTCAGCATTTGAAAAGTTAGACAGTTTAAATTGGCTTAAGCCATAAATATAGAAAAGTGAGATTGGATGTTTTTCACCTCATTTTCCTGTTTGGCTGACAGTTTTTCCAATGTCTTCTGAACAAAAATCTGCCTGTAAAATGGAAGTCAAAACAAAAACTTTATAATAAGCCAAAAACCTGGGATATGGGCTAAGGTTTTGTTGGGTTCTATCTCAATATGACTTGAAACTAATGGGGAAAAAATATAAAAGAAATATCCCTATGCAAAGCTAAAAAAATAAATACAAAATTTACACTAATCCTGGGTTACATTAATCATGTTTAGAACAACCCAACCCTAAGTGGAAATAAATGCAAGACAAATACAGAGAGTATTACTTGTAAAAATTGTTATGTACTGGAAGTTAATTATACTGAGGGCATCACCATGGTAATACTTACTTAGCCTGGAGTCCTCCCCCTGGGGGCAAGGATGGAATGTCCTCACTGGATAATAAATGCATGGCATAATACAAATCAACCCCACCAGGGTTTTCTTGGAGTATCACTAAAGTGGAAGAACAAATCAAATGTACTTTGAGCTAACTACAGAAAAACTTTAGAGTCAATTTTTTAGACAACAAATAAATCAACAACAGGAACTTTTGTATCCTCCATTTTAACAAAAGTTTGTTTGCTGGATCATTTTTAAAAAATCTGAATGAAGGTAGTTCTCTTGTTGGTGGCTGAAAAGATGACATAGTAATGTTCTCAATTAACTTGAGAACATTGTAAATCAACTTTTGTCAAGAAACCACTCTACATCTGAAGCTTATTGCACACAATTAACCAGGAAAAACCTTAACCGCCAAAAGCCATATGACCTCACTACTGATCAACCCTTTAAGAAACTTTCAGTGGCTACACCTCACAGGAAATGAGGGATGGTGAAGAATGTGGTTTCTCATGTAAATTTTATCAACACTTACAGAGCAAAGTTATATTTTTTGACATGCACAGTACTTTCTACTGTTAAACTGGACCTACCTTCTATTCTTTTCTCTATGTCAGCATGAAGGTCTGCTTCCTAAAAATAAATAAACAAAAGAGAAAAGTCTCAAAGAGATATATTATGTTGTGATGTTAAGTCCAAGATAAAAAAAAATGTTATACTTTTTAAATTCAAACCTCAAAAATATCAGGAAACATGGCAGAATGACCCTCACTATCCTTATTATAATTAAGATTTTCAAACATGACTGTAAGATTGTCACCTTTCTCGCAAATAGCACCAGAACATAATTCTTTGTCTTTTCCCTAATTCAAAAAGTGGGGCAATTTAATTGTTGTCTGGTTCATACAGTCAACAATACAAATAACCTGTACTAACATGAAGTACCTGTTTAATAGCATCCTGAGAAACTCGAGGTGCTCCAGGGAAAGTGACCAAAATCACACTCATGTTATCACGACTTCCCTGTGAAATTAAGTGAAAGTGAAAATGAGCTACACCAAGGAACCTCAAATTCTAATACACTGCGGAAAGACATGTAAAATAAATGACTCTAAAGGTGCCAGTCAGTTTGGAAATGATATGGATTATCAATAAGCCAAAAAAAAACCACCAAAGGAACACATGGAAACATTTTAACAGTAAACATCAAGACAACTATTTACGAAAAGACGTGCTTAGAGGTCTGGTATTTAAGTTCAGAGTCGCTCGTTATTTATCTGAAGCCATAGAGTTTCCGGGAATGTCTTAACGAGTTGTGAACGACGCAAAACTTCAAAAAATTATGCTTCAAATACATCAAAGATAACTTTACTCAATTTTTGTTGTCTCTACGAAAATATTAGGTAATTATGCCTCCGTAAAATCTTCTGTACAATCCACATGAAAAATACATGGTAGGATTTGTAACAATACGATCCGTACTATGCAGCTGGCTTTTAAAATATTCTAGTTTAAAAAGCTCAAAACAGCTGAGAAAGCTCACTTGTTTGTGAAACATTTCAGATCACTTCAATTAACAAACTGTCTGCAAGTTAATGCGACGAAGAACTTTCCTAACAAAGTTAAGGCTAACTGTTTTAACACAAACGCTTATTTGCCGTTACTACCTAACATTACGTGTACAACCACGTGAATCCGACGACAAAACTGATCAAAAACAACATAAAAACTGACAATCTCACCTTTGCTAGACAGGTGTCGAGGAGCTCGCTGCAAATTAGTTCTAAATCGTCAGAAAGAAGCATTCTTGAGCGAACGTAATCTCCTACTTCTTCGTTAGTCATCACATCCCAGATACCATCGCAGCCGACCACGATAAACTCATCCACATCATCTTGTCTTGAAATCACCGAAATCTCCGGCTCTGGCGAAACTAGTTGTTTATCCGCATCTAAAACTCTATCCATCTTGTACTCGAAATCTCCTAAAGCCCTAGAAACTGCCAAAGAGCCGTTTACCCTTTGGATCATAACACTACCCCCAGCCCTCTCAATGCGATTTTTCTCGTCTGGGTTGGATGGCTTGTGATCGACTGTATGGAAAGTCACTTTCTCGTTGCTACATAAAATAGCCCTAGAGTCTCCACAGTTGGCAAAGATAAATTGCTTAGGGGTAATCATGATTGTTACGGCTGTAGTACCACTTTTGTCATCCCCGTTTATCCAGGCTGGGCGTTCTCGCATCGTTTTGTCCAGCTCAAAAAATCCCATCCTTATCCCGCTTTTAAGCTGCTCCAAGTCAGGCGAAGATGGCCCGTTTTTTAGTGCCGATTTAAAATCATCGCTCGATAAAACACACCCTAGGAGATTCTCTGCACAATAAAGACTCGCATTTGAGCCTGCATGGCCGTCAAAAATGCCAAAAAATGACCATTCTTGAAGCTCCGGGTTCAAGCCAGTGATATCAGTGTGAGCATCTTCCATTTCAATACGCCAGCCTTGCATAGACGCCAGCCCATAGCGAAGTCCATTTCCCGACGCAGACTTTGTCAGTTTTTCAGTCTTTGGTTTGTCTAGAAATGCACCCATCAAAACAATGTCCTTTCAGCCACATCTACCGCATCAAAATTGTGTTTTTAAGTTCAAACATACAAATCTCTAGGAAAGTGCTGGTTGCAACAGATTTTTAAGTTACTATTCCCAGGCCACCACTCGGATGCTTTGTAATTTGTCCCCAAGCCTACGCATGGGTAAAAATCTGAACATGTTGTGTAACAGTCATGTACTGTCACTCTTCTGATGACTACTACATCAGTCAAAATCCCACGAAGGGCTCAAAAGAGAAAATAAAACGGCCTCAAATCAACGGACCTGACCCTTTTTTTCAAACTGCACTCATGCAATGTGCATCACTTTGCAAACAATCACAGCCTGAGAAACAAAGACAAATCAGCTCACAATTTGTTGTGACTATAGCTGGTTTCAAATTCTCATATTCAGTACTACTAATTCAAGGCTAGTTCAAAGCTAACAAGGACAATTTAAACAACGTTTTTTTAAGTGATTTGATGAACAGACTTCTCAAGAAAGGCAAATTCTTGCATTATATACAATTGTTGCCCAATATCAACAGCATCTCATATCACAAGTTCAAGTAAAATTACAATTTTTCAACAAAATTTATTTAGAAAGAGACAAATACAAAAGCTGTAGAGCTTGATTTAAAACCAGTCAAACTGTTTAAATGGAAACACAAAAGACTGTCACCCCAGCTTTGCAGATAGTCACCAGGAGCGAGTGCTCATGGTTATATGCTTAATATGTTCAATGTCAACAAACATGATGAAACAATTAGAACAATTAAGATACTCTTACTTCAGCTACAAAATAATGATGTGAGAGCTATCACTTTATTGACAAAAGGAAACAAAGTTAAGAATTCAATCATGTTTTATTTTGTGAGTGAAAGTAGCAAGTTATAACAGAGTTGAAAGTCTACAAGTAGCATTTGTAGGTTCTTTAGACATTCAGTTCCTGTGTTGAGCAATGTTCCTAGTCAGCAGCTAATCTCGCTCAGCGATGGCCACCAAATGTACATCAATTTCTGCTTCTGTTAGGATCCTGTAAGACCAACAATGGAGCTATTAAACTCAGTAATATTCCCAATGTGTTTCAAAACACAAAGGTGTTGAGTGTTCAAGCCAGAAAAAAAATAGGAAACAGGAAAATATCACAAGGAGCCAATGACAACTCAAAGTAAAAATATATGTAACCAACTTCAAAGTGCAGGAAAATGAGTTATCAGGTCGCTTTTTGGTTTGGCTTTGTATTCACTTCGTAGAGAGAGTGGCGCAAGATTTTCCAGACCAATCGTCAATTGCACTAAGCCAAACCAAGCTTGAAAGCTGGATTAAATTCAATAATCAAGTGAACTATTCTAAAAAAAGAGACTCAAAAGTAATCTGAGATTCCTTTGGTGTTCCTTCAGTGTACTTTATAATTGTTGTGGAGAACTTGCACCAAGTTTTCAACCAACCTGATCATCAAGTAAAACTGATTGTCACCTTTGTACCTTTCCTGCACTTCATGTATTTGACTTCTTGCTACTTTCAGTTCCTTGTTAAATTTCTCTTTGTTCTGAGGGGTCATAGTGATTACTTTGCTTTGTAGCAACAGAGTTTGCAGTTTTTTCTTTTCAGACATACAAAAATAAATATGGCTAAGCAGCAAAAAATGTTTGCAATTTTCTCTCAAAACCATCAGCCTCGCTGGATGATCAATTGAAACACACTCAGTACAGGAAGATGCAATGAGTTAATTCATGGGGACACTTACTTGAAGCGTGGATTATCAGTTGTCACAATGCCAACTTCTATCTCAGATGGCTTAAAGTCTGCAGATAACACAGATGACAGGCAGCTGATGGCAGTCTGTGGGTATGTAAATAAGATACATGTCATGGTTTTTAAGGACCTAAGTCACAGGTCTCCTTCGGAATAACTGGTGATATTCTCCAGGGCTCAAACCTCACTTGAAATAAAATTCTGGGTTCAAGATTCAATTTGCACAGGAGAGCATTTTTATTGGATACAGAAGAAGACACAGAGTACTTTTCTCATTAAGTGGAAAAAATATTTTAAGAAGAAAAGACTTTAGGAAAATAAACAAAAAGGCCTTGTATTAGTGCAAAACTGTGCTTTTATATGTGTCCTAAGTCATGATCTGTCACTGGAAAATATTTGTGCAAATTTCTAGGTCAAATGAGGAAACTTTTTGCATAGACCACAAGATACTTGCCTCAATTGTTTCACTTTGTGTCCATGCATGTTTTTTCTTTATTTTCTTTTCCAGAAAGCTATTTGCCTCTGTTTGCTTTACACCAACACTACAACCTTTGAAACCACAGTAATATCCAGCAGGGTCTGTTTTGTATAACTGTGGACCTTTTTCATCATCTATACCAACCAAAATCATACCTGCAAAAATGAAACAATTATTTTCATCTACTTTCATAATTAATTCAGGGCTTAAGCCAAGGGGGCTCTACCCTACCACAGCTTGTTCCACTTCCTACCAAATGAAGCTGCTGGGAGTATTGCTACTCCCCTGGGATAGGATGCCAGTCCATTTTAGGCTACCTCTCTCCCCCTTCCCCAAGCATTTTGTCACAATTCCCTGACAGTTTACTTGTATCCATTTGGACTCTTTGATGGAGAGAGGCACAGTGGGAATTAATGTCTTGCCCTAGAACACAACACAGTGACAAGACCAGGTCTAGAACCAGAACCTTTCAACCAAAAGGCAAGCCTGCTAAGCCTTTGGCCACATTGTCTCTGCCCACAAAAAAAAAACCAAAAACAAAAACAAAAAAACAAAACAAAGCAAAACAGAAAAAACTGTTGGGAATTAGCTTAATTAATCAACTATTTCTCACTTACTGCATCCAAGTGGTCTCATCTCAGCGTTTTGAGTGTACACCTGTGAAATGTCAGCAATTCTCTTACACAGCATGTCTACAGGAATTTCATACCCGTATTTATATTTCCAGTTGGCTGCTTCATATCTAGCTCTCTGAACCTGGGAACGTGCATCCGCTACAAACAAAATAAGTGTAATACAGTAACGAATTAATAACAGGGAATTAAAAGTAGCCAAAGGATAATTGTCAGATTGCCAGACCCATTATAAGCTAAAGATCCAAGTAGATTACTCCCATTTTGTGGTCACATTATCAACTTGGAGTCCTTATAAATTGTGGTTTATGAATATACCTTCTATAATCAATCATTGCATAACAGGTGCTTAAGAACACAGGAACTTGGGACTTTTTAATAGACTACATGTGAAGAGCTATAACCCATAATCACTTTTAGTTCTGGACTGACCAATAAGGATGACTTCATAAACCAAGAGAATCTTGGTGCATTGTGGAAGTTTAAGTGTATCTTGAGATGTACGTGCATAAAGTATTACAGGGTTTTCTTAACAATTGTAGTGACAGGAAAATGATGAAAAGTGACAAGAAAAATTTTCTTCTCTATGTCTCAATAAAAGATAGCTCAAGCCATTAAGATTTCACCAGAGAGGTCAACATATAGTTAAGTGAAAATTCTCCAATCTCTCATACAAAATACAGAAAAACCTGGACCCATATGGTGCCAGGGTTGCTGAGAACAGAGAGATATTCAAGTCCAAAGTAATAAAAGTACCTATCAGGCCGGTCATAACACATCCTATTCTCTCTGATAACTCAAACATGTGAGTTACAGTAGAGGCATCCAGTAGTTTGTCCTGTAAAACAAAATAACAAGAAAGCAAGAATTAATTCAGGGTTTACAACAACCAACAAACATACTTTCATAATCATATATGTCAACAAGTTAAATTTGCAGTTTTACCTCTACATGAAGCCTTTAAAATACAAATAACAATGTTCAAGCAAGGTGCTAAGTTGAAAAATTAAGTATGAAACCTTGCAAACAAAACCATTGTGTAAAACAATGGACTTACAGAAAGACACTTTAAAAAATAGAGGAGGTATACTGTCTTAGAAACACAGACTCAAAACTTTAGCTTTAGACTTTCCATTACCCAATGCAGTAAGCCTATGGTTAAAATTTACTACTAGATCAAGTCTATTTAACCTGCATGTGGTTGTTGGATACCCCTAACAGAATAAGCGAGGTTACCAAGTCAAAATTGTCATTGGAAGTTCAGTAGGTCCATCTAAAAAACTTTACAATCTAGATGTAGAGATAACTTCTTACAAAAAAGGAATAAAATTTATTCTGAAATAACTAAATCAAGTTCGAAAAAACTAGTCACGGAAAATAACTAACAATTTTTTAACAGGGAAACAAACTAAACATTTAAGAGCGACCATAAATCCTCTATCTCGATCAAACGATTTCGAAGCCGAAATGAAAGTTTATAATTCCACGGCTTGTAAAATTAAAATCGGTGAAATCAACCTGAATGACAGTAACAGCACAACGTTTCTTTTATTCAGACAATAGTGTGGATGGTAAGTAAGGAAAAAGAACTCACCGGGACTTTCTTTTGAGTCACAACTACTGCTGAGTCAGCCCCACGAAGACCAATAGATGTTAATCCGCCTTGATTTATTGCTTTGAAAGCATATTCTGCGCGTGGAAAGCACCAAAAAAATCGTTATTTGAACACTTTAGCAATCATTATTTGGAAGCAATTAACTCACCAACTTGATACAACCGTCCTTCCGGCGAAAAAATTGTTATGTGTCGGTCAAAGCCAGCGCTGGTACCACGCGACATCTTGAATTTTTGTCCACTGGCATGACCGTGTGAAGACTGGGGCTGATGACTCAGTGCTCCATCTCGACTAACTCTTCACCTTGTACAGATAGGAACATAAGATATTATATTAGGGATTGAGATTCTAAATTGAATTTACTGGTAAGTATAAAAACTCTTGCAAGCATGGTAAAAGAAATACTCAGTAACGATTTCAATTCAAATTATCAAAGAAATGGCTGTCTGAAATTGGAAATATGTACAATAAAGCATATACCCCAAGCCACTCAATAGCCAATGCCAGAATCTGGGTACGGTGTGTGCTAATAAACTACTGGTCTCTGCTCACTGGCCTTTATCGCTTGTCTTCACTAATGGAAGGCCTAGAACAGGGTTTCCATTTAAATATCTGGGTTAGATTTTCTCGC